TCACAGATATGTTTTTAATAACAGATATTTTCTTCCACTTCTGGATCACGGGGTCATTAAATGTCTTTCTCAGACTATCTGGCAGCAAGGACTCTTTCTACCCTGAATGCTTCCCTTCCCTTCCCTTCCCTTCCCTTCCCTTCCCTTCCCTTCCCTTCCCTTCCCTTCCCTTCCCTTCCCTTCCCTTCCCTTTTCCCCAAACTGCCTAATGTAATGCCCAGTGATCTGTAAAAACTGTGGCTGAGCGTATATGAAGCATGCACTGTTATAAACTGATAGCCATTTTTGATAGTTAATTTTGTGCTCTACTGGGTGTGTGGCAACACCTCTGTTTGCTAAACAAAACTGCTCTTCCTTATATACCTGGAATTCCTAGTTGCATTAATCCATGCCTTATGTGCATACTAATACTGAGGATGCCCATGCTCGTGTTCAGATATTACTTGTTTTCATCAAAGACACTGCAGTAGAAATCATCTATTGGATATGACACTTCCTTACAGACTCATGGCAGCGTGTTCTTTATTTCCTTGAAATACCTAGCTGAGAAATTGAATGTTACTGCAAGTGGGTTCAGTTGTGTAGGCAGCAAATATTCCCCACGTTACCCTTCTTTAACAAGTGTTTTGACTACTTTCACTGCAGAAAGAATTGTAATATTGTTCTACTTGCAGTGTATTTATTATGCAGCTCAGGTAGTTAATGCTGTGTTGACAATGCGGACCAAAAATTCAGTGTATTTAATTCTAGTTTGCAAGACAGTTATCTCCCATTTTATATCACTTTATTTCTTGGTGGTTTTCTAGTTTATTTTATTTATCTCAACTATTTAAAATGTCTGCAAATATCCCCATGGCAATGGAATTCGCTTGGCAGCAATATATAGTTACATGAATCATGACTAGACAGTAAATAAATGGTTTAAGGCATAACTAAAGACCAAATGCAAGCTGATGTGTTTGGTAACAGCAGAAGGTGTTTATTGTGAATATATTTCTACACCATTAATAATCTTTCCTGGAAAACCAGAGTTCTGTAAAAAGTTTGAGAGTTTTATCCTGATTTTGGGGGGGATGCTGACCAAACTCTTTCCTTTTAGATGGATGGATATCCCCACAACTCTGCTGTGTCTGAATTCAGAAAGGAAAGGTGGCTGTGGTAATTCTATTTGAAAGAATTCAAGTTCATTGCATTTCTTTGATTATTTGCCTATTAGAGCTATGGACTGTCCACAGCAGATATATGGAAAAGTAACCTTGTAGATGAGCATTTTGCTTGAGGCCATGCCTTTGACACACAGCAGGCTAAAGCAGCATTTAGGGACTTTCAAAAGATCTCCTGTACACATATTTAACTTCCAGGGAATAAACAAGCCACTGTTTTTCTTAATGGTATGTAATGGAATAAGATGGCTGAAGATCTGCTGAGCTCTTTTATTTGTTTATTTATTTTTTTGCAAGAGAACACTATTTGATTTTCCTGGCATACAATTGGCAAAGAAGCCTTTTTCAGAGTATTCATAATTACCGCAGCTATGAAAAACGTGTCCATTCAACTTAATGTCTTAGATGGACCCATTAGCTACTGATGTCTTGTTGCATAAATGCACACAGTTCCAAAAGTGACACAGGTTTTTAATGTAGGATGTCTTAATCCATTGTGATAGCTACGTGGCTTCTCCTTCAAAACATGGAGGGGAGACTGTGCAGCCAAGGGTGTTTTAATTCCGTATCTGAAGTTCAGCAAATGGAAGAGCAAGCATTCAAAGACTTAAAATAAACCACAGCGTGATAAATCATAACAAAGTACAAAATGAAAACATTCAATTTATTTAGAGAACGTTCTCAAAGAATGGAATACATCAGTCTTGGACCAAAGCATACATTTATCCAGACAGCTGTTAATTCACAGTTTATTTATAAAATGATTCAATTTTTGATAACATCTATGTATGGCAAGATGCCCAACCTCTGGGGCACAATGGGGAGAGGTTGTTAAGTTAGCATCCTCCTTTCTCTTTGTCTGCTAGCAAAAAAGTTGGAAAGAATCAGTGTTACTCTGCTGACTCAACTCCAACAGCAATGCCAGGTGAGTCCTACTACTAATTTACATCCATCGGAGAAAAGAAAGATCTTCTCCAATGGGGAGAACAGGAAAACTTCACAGGAGGTCCTCAGAACAGCCATCCAAAGCTAGTAGACCTATTTTGACACAAAGTCAGCACTTTGCCTTCTGTCACAGAGGAAATTAAACAAAAGTAATCACACAGAGTGACTAAAATCAGGAATTATATGTTTTGTGTAAGTTCATGATGGGAAATCCAGGTATCTACAGGCAGCACAAACGTTATAGCTATTATTATTAAGTCCACTTTTCTGATTACTTGAATGGAAAAGCACTAACATAATTTCTACTTGTGCAGTTTTTTGAAAGAACAGCGAATGCAAGTAGCTAATGCATCTACAAGGCAAAGTACTGGTCTGGACTGAAACAGAGTTCTTAAAATGTGTGTGTGTACAGAAGTTCCATTCGCTGTGTATGACTTACAAATTTAGCATGGCTGAAAAAAGAAGTTGCCTTGGCCACAAAATGTTTGTCTCTAATAGTAATGACCTAAAATACATATTTGATATTGGAAAAAATAACATATTGGTCATTTGTCTGACAGATTTTACCGCTTCCTGACTGATTATTGAGGAATTCAGAATGCTTTTTGGCAAACAATAAGTATGCCTACACTGGGGAATTTCTTATTCTTTTTTTTTTTTTTTCAGGAAACACAGCTACATTAGTGCTATGAAAGCAGGCTTTCTCA